TACACAGTTCTGCTCTAGTAAACAATGTAATGTTGCAGCCTGCACAGACTGAGTTGGCAAGATACGACATCTGGATGATTCCACTTGCCACGCTATGCATCTCGCTGTCTTACTGGGAGAATTACATCAGTGAGAAATCTTCTCACGAGTGCATCGCCTCCTGGGCGAACATTAAGGAAGAGGTCAGGAAACTGCGGCCCAAGATCTACGTGTTCGTCACAATGTGGAAGATGCTGCTGCTGATGGCGTTGATGGTGTTGTTGACGATGGATGTCGTTCCCGTGCAATCGCTGTTCCATGCCAACATCGCCAATCCAGAGCCGTACGTGGTGATCTTTAATAACGGCACTTTGGCGCAGAAACTGACCGATGACCACGACGCGATCAACGTGTTTCTGATCGGCGCGTTCAGCGCCTGGATGTGCTTCATGGCGGGCAAGTACGCCTGCAAGCTGCTGATCCAGCGCTACAGCTTCGCGACGCCGCTCGTGCTCGCACTGCCCACCTGCTTCGGTCTACTCGTCATCCTCAGCCACGTAGCAAACCAGCAGAACGGCTGCTTCATGAAGGAGATCATGCCCGGCTACCTGGACTGGAATTGGGCCGCGGTGCGAGCTGACGGTCTCGAGCCGGTGGACAGACTCACGGTGGTGATCGAGCTGCTTGTCTGCATTGCGCTGATTGCCTCCCACATAAGGATCACATCGCATATTTGGTTTCCGGCATGTGAACGTCTCGCCAAGACAATCAAGTATGAACGGCTAATTTATTTGTGTTCTCGTTTACGCATTGGCACAATGATTTTCCTGCTAATGTATTTAAGCACTGGATTTCTTATGCACTGAATATAGAGCTTAATAAAGGGTGGTGCAAACAGTCCATGCACACAGGGCATCACACTTCTTTGACCCATAAGATATATCACAGACGATTGAATTTTATAAGACCATGCAGCCATTTTGACACTATACAAACCATTACATTTGAGGAACCCTGAAGTGTTTCATTCAGATTATTATTTTGATTCCAAATAAACGGTATAACCTTCAGATGTTATTGCACACAACTTTGTTTTTAAAACTAATTGTTCATACGTGAGTTATATGAAAAAGGTCCTTTAAGATTTTCCTACACTAGGCACAGTAAACTCAATTTCAATTACCTACCTTGACACTCGGTTACCACCTCAGGTAATATCGTTTTCTTTTAAAGATCTTATCGCAATATTCCATAGTATAATATTACATGGAATTGATTTTTATAGGGCATACCTGAGTCTATTTAATCTGTCTAACTTAACAATATGGCGCCCTGTGTTAGACTGTTTCAGAAGCCGAGTCATTGTAGCGTGCTGGCGGACGTCGACCTGGCTCTTAACCGTCGACGCGACGATGGAATACTAGTGAAGGTAAAACTCACACCCAGGCTCAGCCTATTCATGCGCACATATATTCGCACTATATAGACGTACACTGCTGAAACGTTTTTCCTTACTAGGAAAACAATATCTGAAATCCAGAATGAAGCATCATTTTTGTTTTTTTGTTTTACTTATTATTTATTAAGTTTTCGTTTATATTTTAAGACTGTGCCGTTTAAAAATCCAGATTTATTCATTGTTTTTCAAGATTAATTTTTGTTCACTCCCAAGATACATAATATGAGTAAGCATAGATCGTAGAGCCTAAATGCAGCCTATTATTCTTTATATCATAATTTATTTCCTATTTCGCCGACTTTTTTCTTCTAAGCAAATGATTTTCAACAGTGTAGGTAGACATGCAGGTAATCGCCTACGCGCGATAACAGTGTTAATGTAATGTAGAGTTATTAGAAGGTAGAAAGTAGAGTTTAGTTTGAGAAGTTACTGGTGACACATGTATAGATGTTTGCGCTACCGCGAGCGCATTATTAAATAATATTGCGGCATTGGCAAGCGGGTAGGACTGAAATTAGAAATAGAACGTATCATTAGCCGCGAGCATTGACCGCAGATCATTACATAATGTTAGTACGACTGGCTGCACGCAGAACTATAAATACACGGCAAGCGTGCGTGTTGAACACATGTGCTAGAAGCTTCTCACGTAGTCCCATTCTATATATGGGGCTTTGCAAGGGCATTCCCCCAAAGAAATAGATACCTTTTAGTTCAGTAGAATTTCACTAGTCGCCATCATTGCAGCACAGTACAGTGCACCATAATCTACGCCATAGTGTACCATGTCGAAATAATTTAGTTAACGAATCAACGAACAGAAGAAATCAAGTGTCTGACCAATGGGTCAGGCATGGGGAGGGGCTGATTTCTTTGGGGTAGTATAAAATACCATGCAGAACGTCAGAGAGGAAGTTCTTACAACGTTTTACAAAGACTTAGGAAGTTTTAGTTTCTCAGGCAGTACTACACTAGTCTGCATTAGTCGATCTCTGAGTGGCATAAATCATCTCATCTGTTACCATCAACGTATTACATCGCACGAGAGGCAGAGACAAGAGTGACGTTGCCTTCAAGCTCACCGCAGCACGAACCGAACCGAAACTATATTACCTACATAACACAGATTCCGGGAAATTTTCCAATTTTTTTCTTTAAATTTCTAAACTTTTGGGTGCGTATAAGGCAACGGAAGGTCTTATAAGCTGCGAAGTTACGAAGTTACGTGCACTCTGCTATATATATATATAAATTTTTAAATAATATACAGGTACATACATAAATGTAATTTTAATCGAAAAAATTTACGATTGGATGCATTAAATTAATATTTTGGTAAAAACTAATCTTACGTGGGGCGCTTCTAGTGCGTCACTGCCGACGTCTGCTGAATCGTCTGCTGCCGTTTGGCGCTGTCTAAAAATATTTAAAAAATCACACATCTCAGCGTAGCTACTTCTCTACTATCGGTGCATAAAAGCATCATTTATTTCTATTCTCACATTCGCTTTCGTTGACTATTTACGATGAGTAGATTTCTTTTCGCCAACATTAATATACAACCGTATACATTTAAGAGTAAACAGTGTAGCAGCGTGTTGATTCAGTCACGGCGGCTGCATACAACAGGCACTCGCGCCATTTTAATAATAAATTAATATCAAATAAACACAACGTTTGTCCTTAGTACCGAAACTTCTACTCTCACTTGTTTACTCTCTATCGTCTCAAAATGCTTTTAAATGCCGTCAGAAATCTTATCGCAAACGCAGGCCTATGTGCACAGAGACAATACAATATGTATCACACACACGCACGCACACGCGCACGCACAGCACTCACAAACGCGCGACGCACTCACACACCGGGTTAGCGACGGATAGCGGAGAGCTTTCGAAGACCGCGCCAGATCGAGGGAGTCTTGGAAGCCGTGCGCCGCCGTTGTCCCGAAGCGATCTCTCGTCGTTGGTTAGTAACGTGTCCGCCGCCGCCGGGCCGACGCACGCACGGCATGCAACACAAACAGACACAAGGCCACACAGGACACACTAGACACACACACAACACACACACACACACCAACACACACACACGCGCACACCAATACGCACAACACCGCGACTCACAAAACCCTCCGCGCACGACGGCACCCCGACACACGACACAAACACGGCGCGCACGACACAAAACACACGAACACGCGCGCACAGCGGGCGCCATCATGCGCCCCGCACACACACGCGGACGCACAGACACGCGAGCGCACACATCACACGACACGCACACCACACGCCACCACGCACGCACACACACTCAACACACCACGCGCGCAACAAACGCTTCGCAACAACACGCGCAACAAACACGCGCGCACACGACGCCCCACACAAAACACGCAGCAACGCACGCACGCACGCCAACGCACGCGACGCCACGCACACGCACAGCACGCACACACACACACACAAACGCGCAACGCACATCGCATACACATACAACCACACACCCTCTCGAGCCACGCCGCGCGCACAAACGCTTGCGCTCACGAACGCAACAAAACACGCGCGCACACCGCAGAACACGCAAAAACACAGGCGCAGCGCACCGCACGCGCTGACACTGCACACATACATACCATACACATACACAATCACCACAAACGTACGCCCACATGCACATTCACACACATACGCACACACACAACACACACACACACCACACACACACACACACACACACAACATGTATATATATATATATATTATATCACACCGCAGCGCACAAACGCAACACCCTTCGAAGAGCACGCGGGCACGTACACCACAGAACGCAGCGCGAAATAACGCGACCAGCACGACACAGACACCCACGGCGCGAGCGCGCGCCACATGAAAGACGGAAGCGCAGTCTAACGCCGCGGAGACAGACAATAACGATAGCCCAGCTCGAGGCATTCTTCGATACACGACTGACACGCGAGCCGCAGAGCGAAATCACGCACACGACTTCGAAGACGACCGCGCGCACAACACACACCAATGCACAAAAAACACGCACGAAACTACGCATGCACACACAGAGCAAGCACGCACGCACACACACATACACACACACGACACACCACCACAACACACACACACACACAAATACGATGGGCACACATACACACACACGCACAAATACGCATGCAACACAAAGACGCCAACACCACACACAGACGCACGCACGCAACAGCACGCAGCGCAAGCACGCACGCACACAATCGTACAGGCACACACACACGACCAACACACAACCACACACACACACCATCACACACACGCATACATACACACACACAACCAGCACACACACACACGACGGCGCACACACACACATCACAGTCCGAAACAGAGGCACCAGCACCCACACATGCACGCAACTACACAGGCACAGTACACACAGCCGACAACACAACATGCACGACACAAATAACTGTTTTAAGTATCATTGACCCGAGTAGACTAAAATAATATACAAAAGAACTAAGTGGCCTGAAACCACTCATGTTAACAATATGTTTCGTAAAATTAGATGTAAACAAGTGTCGGCAACTCATTTTGTGGTAATAAAATTGTTGGCATCTCGGCAAAAGTTTTGCCCGAACAAACTCAACCGATGTACTGTTAGGAAAAACCGGTAAAACAAACCTTGTTGAACACAAATTTAGCACCCCGAATTTACCCTGAGTCTCACGACCTCCTAATTTACGTTCGAATCAACGGTAAAGAATTGTATCTTTTAAAGTTGAGTACGACTAGCTGGGGTAATATAGACTGTCCCATGTTTCAATTTCTAAAGTTAGATAGTGCCTGCCATCTGTTGGAAATCAGAGTAAACAAAAAACCAATAACCAAATAAGCTTGAATTTAACTACCCTAGCCTTTAAATAGTTTAACTCTAAAATTTTTGTCGACATCTTTCGGTACCTTTGGACACCCGCATTTTCTTTAAAATTTGTCAATTTCGCCTTCCGTAACGTTTAACAACACTCCCTAGCCGCCATTTTATTGCGCAAAAATAACATGAAAACCCTAGAGTGATTATCGAAATATATTCACCTAGGTCCTCGACCAATCAGCGCGCAGCAGGATTCCTATAATCACCGGGCGATAAATACTATATATATATATATATATATATAATATATATATATATATATATATATAGTATACACATACACACAAAACGCACTGCAAACACACAAACACACTCAGGCACACCAACGCATGCACGCACCGGCACGCGCGCACGCGCGCGCATAACACACACACGCACCACACACACACACAACACACAGCCACACACAAACACACACACACACGGCACACACACACACACGTACACACACACAGGCACACACAGCAAACAGCACACTACACATGCACACACAGCACACACCACACAACAATCACCTACACACAACAAACACACACTACCACACACATGGCCGTCGCGGCGCAGCCGCGATTCATCGCGGCCCGAGCTGGCACAAGACACAGCCAGATAGGGGAAAACTAAGGAGGCTATATATGCAGAAGAGACGCGGACGCCACGCTACAGCAAACATCTCTCAACACCCACGACAGAAACGCACTCTATGCGAGACACGAAGACGGCGGCACGACAACAACAGGCGCGTGTCCGCAAACACAAACACAAAACAACCGGACTGTGTGACTAGAGCAGCGCAAGGTCAAACAGTAGAATGAGCTGTACCAAAGATGGGACAGACTACAGGGAGAGCCAGCGCACGACACGCACGGCAACAACAATGCGAGACGAGGATACACAGATGTGCAGTAACGAAGACACTCCTGGAAGCACACAAGTACACATCAGAGACGACACAACACAAGACGAATTTAATACTTAGAAAATGAAGCGACATGGAGAAATTAAGTGAGAGAGTGCGTGGAGGGTGAGACATTAATCCCAGGACCATATAGCATACACACGACACTACCAACACACACAGGTATATCGGTCAGCAGCGCATGGCACAGCACCACCACGCACACACACATAACACATTCACACACACACACACACACACACACAACACACACACACACACGCACGCGCATACGCGCGCGCTCGTGCACAACGCCTTCGAAGACACACGCAAACGAACGCGCACAGGCACAAAGCACGCATTGCGCAAAACCACTAACATTCCTTTATCGAACATGAGAAATAAAAATGAAGATTTTAAGCATATACATACGCAGTGTTCTCTCGACTGGTCTCTTCTCTCTTCTTTTCTCGTCTCTTTCCTTCTCCGCTCCTCTCTTCTATCTTTCCTCTCCTCTCGTCTCTCCTCTTCTCTCCCTTCCGATCTCCTCTCCTTCTCTTCTGCTCTATTCTCCTCCAACTCTCTCTCGCTCTTCTCGTGGTTCTTCTTTCTGGGTTTTCTGGTTCAAACGTATCGACGTAAAGTACCAGAGTGTCATAACGATCGTGACGTGCACTCTACTCCGAGAAATATCGCAAATGGGAACAACTATAGTATAGCGTAGTTAAGTGCTGTTACCTCATAACTATGTGTAATGTGTACGTTAATGCACTTGAAGATTAGTGATTGCTTTGACTTTACTGGTAAGCATCTTCACCGCCTGCGACGCAGCAAAAAATACCTACAAAATGGCGGCCGTCCGCCTTCGTACACATACGAGCGTCGCATGAGTGATAACGGGAGTTCATTACGGCTCAGAAACGCCACAAGTTGTGAAAACAAACAATGTCTCCAAATGTCACTTCTTTTTTAGGATCAGAGAGCCACAGAGCATCTAAGAAAAGAAATATACTCTATTATTTTTTGGCAAGACCTTGCTACAGTCGGCACTGGTCGAACCGAGACTGAAATACGCATAGATTATATCGTATAAGTAAAGCGTAACGGGTCAGGTTGATAAAGAAGATCGAGAACGTGACCACTGCTGATAAGTATGGGATGATGTCATGGCAATATATGATCCTATGATGCCGAAGATAGGCGATCATCCTTATTATATCTATCTCGCGACTTTCACTAAGATTGCATGGAATATGAAACAAGCGGTGAGATACACGCAGTAGTACAACGATGCCAGGAAGTCGCAGACACTGCAGGACATCAAGAATCACTGCACGCCACGGCGAACTACGGCGCACATAGAATCACAATTGCACCTCCGGCGCGCACGGCACACGAGGCGAAAACATCACAATTGAACAGACTATGAAGCCCCAGAAACGCATGTAAGGGAATCGACGCACGCTAGCGCGCAGGAGAGAGCCCAGACTACGATGAGAGATGCCAGACCAAGTAGTGAAATAGTGCACGCACGGCCACGCCCAGCCGAGCAATGCACAGAGGACAGTCGTCACCGCGAAGACAGGCAGGATTGCAGAGCGAACCGATACACGCAGAGCGCACGCCACACGCACGCTAATGCAGCCGTCATACATCACACGCGCATGTGTGGATAGAGAGAACGGGAGGTAGACAATAGATAGCCAAGCCCAGATAGGCGCACAGTAATTACGCGCACAGGGCATCATCGCCAAACTCCTAACAATTCGCGTCGCGCGGAGGTACACGTCAGTCAGTGCACGTGCCGTCGTTAAAGAGGAAACCATAGCGGTGGAACGGAACAGCGGCATATGACGGAGCCACCGGCGTGATCTAGATACCGCAGGCAGGTGCACTGCTATGGCGAGCCTGAGATTATTTCTAAAGGACATACGTGGCAACAACGTGATATGAGGAGAGTTATGCTTCTTAAGTTCAAGAAACTGGGTCAAGCAGTTGAGTGGGTACAGTGACCGAGAAGCGCGGGGTCGCATGATGGCGGACGGTAGACACGCGATTCATGATGGGGTAGAGTCAACGTGAAAATGACAGGTGCGAATAAGATGCTATTCATAAGTGATGGACTGGATTTATTAGTTCAACCACAGCAACTCAACTCCATAAAAATGTTGATCGAGTAAGTCAATAGAGAAACCGACACAATGTAGCTGACTGTACGTTGAATATATGGAGCTACCGCTTCAAATATAGTATGAAGTAGTATACGAGCAGTAAGCGCCATTAAGGGGCGGGATTATTCAGAGAATGAGAGAGAGAGAGAGAGAGAGAGAGAGAGAGCGCCAGAGAGAGAGAAAGGAAGAAGAGAGAAAAGGAAGCAAGTAGGAAAGGAAAGAGATAGAGAGAGGGAGAAGCAGATAGAGAGAAACAATAAGTAAAGAAAGAGTTAAGACTAGCAAAGAAAGGAGATAGGGAGAGGGCGCGAGAGAGAGCACATATAATATATAATAATATAGAGAGGAGAGAGAGAGAGAAGAAAGAGCAGGAGAGCAGCGCAGTCGAGAGCGAGAAGAGCAGAAGAGAGAGAGAGAGGCGATGAGGGAGAAGAAGACAGACAGACCAGAGAAAAGACAAAATGCAGAGAGTAAGATCAAGAAGAAGAAAGACGCAAGAGACGATATGGATGAAGAGAAAAGAAAGAAAGAGAGAGATGGGCGAGCGAGAGAGAGGCGAGAAATAGGGTGAGAGAAAGTGGAGGGGAGCGAGCTAGGAGAAGGCTGAGGAGGAAGAAGAATGTAGCGGAGGGAAGGGCAGTGGGAAAGAGAGTAAAGAGAAGACATAGGGAGGAGGGAGGAAAGCGAGGTTAGAGGGGAGAGCGAGAGGAAGAGAGACGTAAATGAAAATAGGGGTAGGGGGAGAAGGAGGCAGAAAGAACGTAAGATACGAGAATAGAGTATGTCGAGAGAGGGAGAAAGAGAAGTAGATGGAGATAGAGTTATCGGGAGAAAGGGAGGAAGAGACGTAATGGAAATAAGAGATATGGGGAGAGGAGGGGAGAAAGAAGACTGTAGATAGAGATAAGAGGTAATGGGGAAGAGCGGAGGAAGAAGAGACTTAGATGGAGATAGAGCTACTGGGAGAGAGGGAGGAAGACGAGATGTGGATCGGGAATTAGAAGGTATGGGGAAGAGAGGGAGTAGGAGAAACACAATATATAGATGGGAGAGATAAGAGGTAAGAGAGAGGGAGGAAGAAGGAGACGTAAGATGGTGATAGAGGATGGGAGAGCAGGGAGAAGAGAGACGTAAGAATGGAAATAGAGGTATGGGAGAATAGGGCAGGAAAGAAGACGAGTAGGATGGAGGATGACCAAGGAATGGGAGAGAGGGAGGAAGAAAGACGTAGAATAGAGATAGACGGTTTTTGAAGAGAGGGAGGAAATAAGAGACGTAGAATGGAGATGGAGGTATGGGAGATAGGAAGAAGAGAGACATAGATAGAGATAGAGTATGGGAGAGAGGGAGGGAAGAGAGACGTAAGAACGGAGATAGAGGTACGAGCAGAGGGGGTGAAAAAGAGGCAATAAAGATAAGGAGATAGCAGGTATAAGGAGAGAGGAGGAAGAGAAGGAACATAAAAATTAGAGACTAGAGGTATGGAGAGAGGGAGGAAGTAGAGACGCAGATAGAGATAGCCAGTTATGGGAGAAAAAGTGAGGGAGAGATAGTAAGTCATAGCAATCCACGCACGTACGCAGCGACACGCCTACACACACGCACGACACGCACCACACGGATATCCACGCATGGTGCGTTTAAAGAAAGCATAAGCGATCGCGCACATAATCGCCACACTCTGTAAGCAGAATCATTGACAGCTGATTTTTTAGTCGTAAACGTAAAGATGTTTGCTTGCTTGATAAGAAATAGTCAGCAGTTGTGATACGTGAGCGTTTAGCCAGGGGTCGCTGATGGCGAGAGGTAAAGACACGATTCATCGGTGAGTCAACGTGAGAGGATGACAGGTTTGCGATAAAAGCTATCATAAGCGACTGGCATGGATTATTAGTTCACACGAGACTCAACTCAATAAGAAATTTTGACGAGTAGAAAAAATCCACATAGTGACTCGGTGAATAATAGAGCCTTATATAGTTTGATCTCTCTCAAACAACAAAACAATAAA